AATTGAAGAGGATACAAGAAAACTGGAATGATATTCCATACTCATGGATTGGAAGAATCAATCTTGTTAGAATGTCCGTACTACCCAAAGGAATCTTGATTTAATGCAATTCCTATCAAAATACCAATGACCTTCTTCACAAACAGAAAAAAAAAATTCTAAAATTTATGTAGAACTACAAAAGACCCCAAATGGTCAAAGTTATCCTAAGCACACACACAAAAAAAATACTGGAGGAATCATATTACCTGACTTCAAGTTATACTACTGAGCTATAGTAACTAAAGACAATCTCTTCAATAAATGGTGCTGGAAAAACTGGATATCCTTATGCAGATGAATGAAACTAGACTACTGTCTCTAACCATATACAAAAATCAAGTCAAGATGGATTAAAGACTTAAATCTAAGAGGTCAAACTATGAAACTACTACAAGAAAACATTGGGGAAATGCTCCAGTCCATTGGACTGGGTAAAGACAAGTTGAGCAATAACCCACTGGCACAGACAACCGAAGCAAAAATGGACAAATTGGGATCACATTAAGCTAAAAGCCTTCTTCTGCACAGCAAAGGATACAATCAACAAAGTGAAGGAACAACCCACAGAATGGTAGAAAAGATTTGCCAACTACCCATCTGACAGGGATTGATAGTCAGAATATTTATGGAGTTCAAACAACTCTAAAGGAAAAAAAGTAATAATCCAATTTAAATGTGGGCCAAAGATTTGAATAGAAATTTCTCAAAAGAAGACATACAAATGGCAATCAGGCATATGAAAAGGCACTCAACATCACTGATCATCAAAGAAATGCAAATTAAAACTACAATGAGATATCATCTCACTCCAGTTAAAATGGCTTTTATTCAAGAGACAGGCAAGAAAAAATGGTGAGGATGTAGAGAAAAGGGAACTTTTGTATACTGTTCATGGGAATGTAAATTAGTACAATCACTATGGAGAACAGTTTGGAGGTTCCTTAGAAACCTAAAAATAGAACTATCATATAATCCAGTAATTCTACTCCTAGGTATATATCCAAAAGAAAGCGAACCAGTATGTTGAAGAAATATCTGCATTCCCATGCTTATTGCTGCACTATTCACAATAGTCAAGATTCGGGGGGAAAGGATTCCCTGTTTAATAAATGGTGTTGGGAAAACTGGCTAGCCATGTGCAGAAAGCAGAGACTGGACCCCTTCCTGACACCTTACACTAAAATTAACTCCAGATGGATTAAAGACTTAAACATAAGACCTAACACCATAAAAGCCCTAGAAGAAAATCTAGGCAAAACCATTCAGGACATAGATGTAGGCAAGGACTTCATGACCAAAACACCAAAACCATTGGCAAAAAAAAGCCAAAATAGACAAATGGGACCTAATCAAACACCACAGCTTTTGCACAGCAAAAGAAACAGTCGTTAGAGTGAATTGGCAACCAACAGAATGGGAAAAAATTTTTGCAGTTTACCCATCTGACAAAGGGCTGATATCCAGAATTTACAAAGAACTAAAACAGATTACAAGAAAAAAACAAACAAGCCCATTCAAAAGTGGGCAAAGGATATGAACAGATACTTTACAAAAGAAGACATACATGAGGCCAACAAACATATGAAAAAATGCTCATCATCACTGGTCATCAGAGAAATGCAAATCAAAACTACATTGAGATACCATCTCACGCCAGTTAGAATGGCGATCATTAAAAAATCTGGAGACAACAGATGCTGGAGAGGATGTGGAGAAAAAGGAACACTTTTACACTGTTGGTGGGAGTGTAAATTAGTTCAACCATTGTGGAAGACAGTGTGGTGATTCCTCAAGGACCTAGAAATAGAAATAGAAATTCCATTTGACCCAGCAATCCCATTACTGGGTATATATCCAAAGGATTATAAATTGTTCTACTATAAGGACATGTGCACACGAATGTTCATTGCAGCACTGTTTACAATAGCAAAGACCTGGAACCAACCCAAATGCCCATCGATGATAGACTGAACAGGGAAAATGTGGCACATATACACCATGGAATATTATGCAGCCATCAAAAATGATGAGTTTGGGTCCTTTGTAGGGACATGGATGAAGCTGGAAACCATCATTCTCAGCAAACTGACACAAGAGCAGAAGATTAAACACTGCATGTTCTCACTCATAGGTGGGTGTTGAACAATGAGAACACATGGACACAGGGAGGGGAGCACTACACACTTGGGTCCGTTGGGGGGAAATAGGGGAGGGACAGTGGGGGGTGGGGAGTTGGGGAGAGATAGCATGGGGAGAAATGCCAAATATGGGTGATGGGGAGGAAGGCAGCAAATCACACTGCCACGTGTGTACCTATGCAACAATCTTGCATGTCCTTCACATATATGTATTCCAAAACCTAAAATGCAATAAAATAAATAAATAAATAAAAGATTGGGAAGCAACCTTAATGCCCATCAACAGATGAATGGATAGTGAAAATGTGGCAGATATACACAATGTAGGATTATTCAGCCATAAAAAGAATGAGATCCTGTCATTCACAACGACATGGGTGGGACTGGAATTCATTATGTTAAGTGAAATGAGCCAGGCACAGAAAGACAATCATTGCATTTTCTCACTAATTTGTGGGAGCCAAAAATTAAAACAATTGAACTCATGGAGATAGAGAGTAGAAGGCTGGCTATCAGAGGCTAAGAAGGGTACATGGGGGATAGTGGAGGGATGGGGGTAGTTAATATATACTCACAAAAATATAGTTAGAAAAATAAATAAATCTAGTATCTGCTAACACAACAGGGTGACTATAGTCAAACATAATTTAATTGCACATTTTTATATAACTGAAAGTATGTAATGGGATTGTTTCAAACACAAAGGATAAACCCTTAAGGTGATGGATATCTTATTCACCCTGATTTGATTATTATGCTTTGCATGCCTGTATCAAAATATCTCATATAACCCATAAATATATATACCTACTATGTACCCACAAAAATTAGAAATTAAAAGTTTTAAAAAGGAGGGAGGGAGCAAGAGAGAGTAAGAGGACATGTCAGGCTCTTGTTAACAACCAGCTCTCATTAGAACTAATAAAAGTGAGAACTCTCCTCCTTCCAGCCAAGGGCATTAATCTGTTCATGAGGGATCCACCTCCATGACTCAAACACTTCCCATTAGGCCCCACCATCAATATTGGTGATCAAATTTTACTATGAGGTTTGGAGGGACAAACATCCAAACTATGGCAATCATGGACTGTATTAGTTTCCCAGGTCTACTGTTAAAAAAAAATACTGTACTACAAACTGGGTGACTTAAAATGGCAAAAATTTATTGTCTCCCAGTTCTGGTTGGAAGAGGTCCAAAATCACGATGTTGACAGGGCCATGTTCTCTTCTTTGAATTCTTCCTTACCTCTTCCTAGCCTCTGGTGGTTTGCCAGCAAACCTTGACATTCCTTGGCTTGTAGCGACATCACTCCAGTCTCTGCCTCCTTAATCCCATGGCATTTTCCCTGTGTGTCTCTGTCTTTATGTGGCTGTCTTCTTCTATAACTCGTCATATTGGAATAGGGGCCCAGTATGACCTCATCCTAACTAATTCCATCTGCAGTGATACTGTTTCCAAATAAGATCACATTCTGAGGTACTGTGGGTTAGAACTCCAACATGCCTTCTTTTGGGTGGGAATAGGAGATGCAATTCAACCGATAGCATGAACTATTTATATATAACAGAATTGTGTTAATGTTAAATTTCCTGAGTCCAATAATTGGGTAGTGAGTATGTAGGAAAACGTCCTTGTTCTTAGGTAATACCATCTGAAGTATTTGCAGGAAAAGTGATATAGTATCTCCAACTAACTTTCAGCAAATGTCACAAAATACTAACAATTGGTAAATCTCATTGAAGGTGCCTATTTAAGTGTTTATTATACTGCTTTTGTAACTTTTCTGATGATTTGTCAATCTTCCAGACAAAGTCTTGGAGATAAAGAGATACCTAAAAACCAAAGGAAGAGGAGGAGAAGACATTTGGGAAGGCTGCGGGTTCTCTCCCCTAGAACTTGTACCCCCAACTATAGCGTGAGGGCCTTCTGAGAAGTGACTTTCCTCTGCACCGAGCTGTACCAGCTGCAGAAATGACTTATGTAGAATCTCCTCTGCGTTCTTCTCACAGCGCCCTTTCTATATGTCTCTCTTATGATTTCATTTTTGCAAGAAATCAACGCCACATAGCCCCTCATCGTCTCTCCCTCACCAACACTGTCTAAGGCTTTTGGAATGTTAGCAAAGTGTCTTCTACTCCTCCCAAGTTCAAGTGCAAATGACAGAAACTATTACTGCAACTGGGACTTTGTTAAGTGAAAACAAGAAAAGGTTTTCAAAAATTCCATCCTCAGCCAACTCTATTCCTGCTGAGTTTTCTCAAATGAATTCCTTGATGCAACAATGGAGATCACACAGTTACTGTTTATCTACCCTGAGTGCTTTTGAAACACCAGGACCCCGATAGCCAGGCCCTTCACATGGGCCCCAAGGCACACACCCCAAGAGCACAGCTTTATATTACCCTGCAAGCTGTGGCAATCATCCAGATGCTACATTCCCTGGGCATCTTACCAGGGAATCCTTTTCAAGAGTGTCGCTTGAGCTCTTTGACTCTTAAACCAAGGAGTGGCAAAAGCAGCTTGTTTTTCACAGCATTCTGTGCAGGTCCATGCTGAGATTTAAATGACTGTCCCTAGATAGAGGAGAGGGACAAACCAAGAGTCCCTGAGCCTCCAGGCCTGAACTGAGAAAATCCTACCTCCTGCTTCCACTCCAGCTATGTAAAGCTATATACAGCCTAAATCGGTGTCATGGAGCAGTGACAAATTCATCAGACCTATCTCCCATCTCTCTGGGCCAAGCGTGAAGGGAGGAGAGAGGAAAAAAAGGAAGGTTTCTTTAAAATGGTGAGGACTTCCTTGTGCAATTTCTTTAACAGCAAGGGAGGCCAGCACCTGCAAACAAGCCAGCAGAGCTATCCACCAAGCAATGGAAGAGTCTTATCTCATGACACGCTGGTAAGGGGACCTGCTGGAATGTGCTTTGAGGAAGTGTTGCCGCCAGCCTAGCACTAAGGAACCATGCTGACTGAGCAGCTGTCAGACCTGCCCCACCGGTACCTGGGAGTGCAATAACCAAAGCATGGACATACCATGGAACCAGAGTGATGTCCCCTCAGTGTAGAAGGTTACCCTGCATTTATGATGAAGTAGTGGCCCTGTTGCCAATTTGCATCACATTGATGCAGGCTAGGTCTTTGGAGACACTTAGGACTGAAAAGCTAGAATAACCCCAGGAAGTACCTTCACAGTGTAGGAGATGGAGAGACTGTGGAGTTTGATGCTGAAGGAGAAAAGGGTGCGGAGGCAGCAAATGTTACAGGTCCTGGTGGCATTCCAGTTCAAGGCAGTAAATATGCAGCAGACAGTAACCATTATAGACGCTATCCACATCGTAGGGGTCCTCCAGGCAATTACCAGCAAAATTACCAGAATAGTGAGAGTGGGGAAAAGAACAAGGGGGTCAGAGAGTGCTCCCGAAGGCCATGCCCAACAATGCCGGCCCTACTACAGGCGAAGGTTCCCAAATTACTACATGCGGAGACCCTATGGGCGTCGACCACAATATTCCAACCCTCCTGTGCATGGAGAAGTGATGGAGGGTGCTGACAACCAGGGTGCAGGAGAACAAGGCAGACCAGGGAGGCAGAATATGTATGGGGGGTATAGACCACGATTTCGCAGGGGCCCTCCTCGCCAAAGACAGCCTAGAGAGGACGGCAATGAAGAGGATAAAGAAAATCAAGGAGATGAGACCCCAGGTCAGCAGCCACCTCAACGTCGGTACCGCCGCAACTTCAATTACCAACGTAGACGCCCAGAAAACCCTAAACCACAAGATGGCAAAGAGACAAAAGCAGCCGATCCACCAGCTGAGAATTCGTCCGCTCCCGAGGCTGAGCAGGACGGGGCTGAGTAAATGCCGGCTTACCATCTCTACCATCATCCGGTTTATTCATCCAACAAGAAGAAATAAGAAATTCCAGCAATGAGAAATGAACAAAAGATTGGAGCTGAAGACTTTAAGTGCTTGCTTTTGCCCATTGACCAGATAAATAGAACTATCTGCATTATCTATGCAGCATGGGGTTTTTATTATTTTTACCTAAAGATGTCTCTTTTTGGTAATAACAAACGTGTTTTTCAAAAAAGCCTGGTTTTTCTCAATACGCCTTTAAAGGTTTTTAAATTGTTTCACATCTGGTCAAGTTGAGATTTTTAAGAACTTCATTTTTAATTTGTAATAAAAGTTT